TGTGTGTGTGTCTGTGTGTATGTCTGTCTGTGTGTGTGTTTGTGTGTGTGTGTGTGTTTGTGTGTGTGTGCATGCGCGCACGCATAAGGCTCCTACCAGGCTGTGGGGCTGTCGGGCTCTTGCAGAGAGGCTGAGGCGTGTGTCTGATGGAGTCCAGGGTCACCGTCTTGTGTTTTATTGCGTGAAGAAGCTCTGCAACCTTCTCGTTGTCTGCAGGAAGGGGTGGAGTCTGTGTCACTGACTGCTAACCCAGCCAATCGGGTCAGCAGAACCTGCTGAGCTCAGAACCGCCCAAATTATCCATATAAACACAAGCAGACAAGTACACATCGGCGCCATCAGATGTCCACTTGACGTTTTACTGTGCATGGAATATGCCCCATTCTCCATCTCGACACCATATCACATCTGACCAATAAATAGATGTTTTATGAAGTCATGTATGTAACTAGTATTTTTGTTTGTACTAGTAAATATCTGACAACTAGTTAACAACTCATGATGGCAGATTACTTTATATCACTAATACTAACAATGTTGATAGCTAGATAGCTAACTAACATCACTTAATTCTGAATATAAAGAGATTTCTCCCTACCTTGTTGACACTGACATATCTGCCTCTCTGACCATGTCAGTCCATTTAAAACATTAAAACCCTTTACTGACAGCTGCGTAAAGATTTCTATTGGCGGTGCTAAATGTTTCTCATTAAATAATTTTATGTTTATTCTGTATTTTCTGAGAAAATGTTTTTTCGTGCTGCTGAGATTTTTGTAGATGCATATTTTTCTTCGGACAGTGATGATGCTCAGGTTAGATGTCTAACGATTCCATGCATCCCATAATATTTCATTGTTGATATGGCAGAAGTAGTTGGCCTACCTCTCCTCTGCTGGATGTTGACATGGGACAGGCTGAACATGGTGAGGAACTTCTTCTTGTCCTCCAGCTCAGGGGCACTGTTCATCTGCTCAGCCGTGAAACGGGTGCTGAGGGGGGGCACGGACGGAGCCGGCCGCTTGATCTGCACGGCCGGGGGGGAGTGGCTCCGCTCGCGAAGCATTCGCCTCCTCTTCCTCCTCTTCTGCTGCAGCAGCTCGTCGCGGTGGGAGCGCGTGGTCAGGCCGAACATGTGCAGGAACTCCAGCTTCTGTGGGGGGGGGGGATGGAGTGCAGGAGATGGAGTCAGAGGAGCCAAGCAAGGCTTCCGATAGGTTACAAAGACAGAGGGCAGTTGAGGAGGCGGGGCAAGTACAGTTTAGGAGAACAAAAGGAATTTATCCCAGCAGCCTTCTGTGCGCGTGCGTCTAACATGTGCCTGTGAAAATGACGTCCACGTCTTTGTGTGGGAGGAGCTAAACCCATTTCTGCATCCATGTCTACATCTATACCCCGATGAGCTATTAAAGTGTGTGATCACCTCTACCGACACGGGGGGGGGGGGGGGGGGGTTACCTCTGAGGAGTCATCCAGCTTGAGGGGGGGCTGTTCCGCTACCCGACGTAGATGTGCCCGCACCTCCTCCTCATCGCTCTCGTCATAGGAGTCGTCAAGGTCATAATAGTAGCCTGTTGGGGGAGGGTGGTTGTTATGCAGACATCTGACAGGCCCAGCGGAAAAACACGCCCCCCCCTCCCCCCAAACCCATATCCCCCCAGTGGCAAGACTGTGTGCTGACCCGCTGTGCCTGCTCTGCCTGTCAGACACCATCTTAATTAGCTGGGTCAAGCAGCAAGGTGGGGGGACAGAGGGGGGAGAGGAGGACGTGCTGGGAGAGAGAGCGAAAGGGAGCAAAGGAAAAAAAGACCAGCGATGGAGGGTAGGTGACGGATGGAGGGCACAGGGACTCCTGCTGTGGAAGCTCACCTTTCTCCTTGGCCTCCCTCCTCTTCCTCTCCTCTAGGTCCAGCTTGCTGACCAGCCGGCGGTGCTGCTGTAGGAACTCGTCGTACACCAGCATAGGGTCGACCCCTGGCCGGGGAGGCCCCTGCAGTCCCCTGGGGGGGCCGCCGGGTTTATGAGGGCCGCTCAAGTCGGCGTACTGGCTGTGTAGGGACAATGGCGCCCTCTGCTGGCTGAGGAAGGTCTGTGCAGACCTCTCCAACTCCGCGAGGAATGTGCCAGACTCTGGGATGCCGGGCCCCCTAATGGACACCCCCTTCTCGGCTCCCTCCTTCCTCTTGCCCCCATCGTCCGCCTTTTCTGGGTGCTCCAGTTTGCTCAGGGATAGGGGGGGCCGGCTCAGGTCGAAGTTGCCCAGGCCCAGGGACTCGTGGTTGCGCCGGGAGTCGGAGGCAGTGTCGATGAGGGAGGCCGGGTTCCACAGGGTTGTGGGCGGGGCCAGGGGCTTGGGCGATATGAGGGGCGGCGGTGCTCCAAGATGGGGGAGGACGTCTCGGCTGCCTGAGTCATGGTGGTTTGTAAGGGGCCTGCGACGGGGTGGGACAGACACCCGCATCAGAAAAGCAGCATCCAGCGTAGCGACACGCGGTGAAGCCCCTCCCTCACACCTTATGTGCATGCGTGCGGAAACGGGTTCATCTCAGCCCGGGAAACCGAGGTTGGGGGGGCGCCTTTCAAAGCACTTTAATTTAAAAGGATCCCCGCAAAAACCGCAGGATAACAAGCGGCTTTTAAGGGTTAGCGACAGCCATGCAGCTCGGCGTGCCGGAGGAGGCGGTTAATTAAAGAGTTATCTGCCACCCGGAGCGGCCGCCTTAATCAGAGCTCTGGAGGCGCGGCCCGTGCCTCTCTTTGCTAAGCGTGGCCCCCGCGCACAGTGCCGGGGAACAATCTCATTATCAGGCAGGATTACAGGCGGGGGGGGGGGCGGGGTGCAGCTGCATCGGCCCCCGAATTAAAGTATTAATTAGGGCTGACCTCAATAACGGCATGCAGACCAGGCCAAGAGCGGACAAATCACAGCTCCTGGGGGGGTGGGGAGGTGGGGGTGGGTATCATTCATGGGAAAAGGAAGTGGGATTTTAACACTTTATGCGGGCAGGGAGGATGGAGAGAAAATCGGCCATTTTGAGGCTGCTCTGCAGTCCCCTGCCTTTAAACCCACACGGCTAATTAATCCTCACAATGAGAACCAGCGCCCCCCCCCCCCAGCCGCCATGGTGACGATGAGGCCCGACAGTAGAGGTGACGCCCACAGGTTCTGGATGCTCGGCCCAACCGGATCAGACGTCAGCAGGACGGATAGCAGATAACGGGGGCGGATAATGCAGCGGAAAGGCGGGCTGACCCCCCCCCCCAGGGTACGAGGGCGCGGAGCCAGACGGCCGACTTACCGGTGTCCCTCCGCCCGCGGGTCTGCCCCCTCGCCGGGCCGGCCCAGGTCCAGGTGCTGCTCCAGGAGCTGCTGCCGGAACTCGGACACCTGGTACTGGCGGTCCTCCTTCTCCTGCCGCAGTTTGCGCTGCCGCGCCAGCCAGCGCTCCTCCTCATTGGCGCGCTGCAGCATCATGGCAGCCGCCAGGGCCCCCGATGCCGCCCCTCCCGGCCCCAGGTAGGCGCCGTGGGCAGAGAGCAGGCCGGGCATGGCGTGGTGGGCGGCGGCCAGGGCGGGGTGCAGGGGGGGCTGCACAGGCTTGGGGGCGGGCAGGAGGGCCTCTTTGGTTTTATCTGGCAGATGGGGGCGGAAAGAAAGGCGCGTAAGTACCAGACCGAGCCGATGGGCCGCAATCTGGTGGGTCCCGACAGCTCTGAGAAAATGAGCGAGCGGCCGTGTGTCACGGCAGAGAGAGAGAGAGAGCACAGCGCCGGCGCCGTGACACGGCAGGGGGGAGGAAACCCCTCCCTTTTTATAGCATCTCACAGCGAGAAAGCAGCTAATAATGCACTCGCCGTAAAGAGTTTCCGTGCCAGGAGCGGAAGGCTGCAGGTGACGGGGAGAGCAGGAGAGTAAAAATAGGATGGGGGGGGGGGGGGGGGCATCGCAGTGCAGCACGAGGCCGGCTACACGTGCCACCTGCGCTCGGCCGGGGCAGGACAAGGCGAGGCACTAACACACCCTGGGCCCCCCCCCAGGTACAAAGGGACTCATTCTGTAACTGTGGGTGAAGGAACAGAACTGAAATACTAATGGGCAACATCTAACACAGCAAACTAATTATTCATAGTAATAATGATGATTATTAACAATAAACAATGATAATAATAACAACAAAACAACAGTATTATTATTGTTGTTGGTGAGCTTTTGTAATTAGAGATTTGTTTAGAAAAACAAAGACAGAAAAACACGGCAGGTTACTGATCTCAGGACAGCAGGGTTGTGCCATGGGCTCGAGCCCTTATAGTACGGCACCCACATTAGAGTGGGGGGGGGGGGGATGCGCCAGTGAGTTCAGCTGGAAAATGCTTAACCAGAATGGCCTTGACCCCCCAGGAGTCGTGACACCTGGCCGGCTGGCGGTCGGCCCCCCCCTGGCTTTGTGGCTCCACACAGACAGTATAGTAAGGTGGCGAAGCTAATGCTGATGCTAACGCTGCGTTCCATTTGGACCCGTAACTGGTAAATTCCAAGTTCCTAGTCGGAAATCTCAAGTCGGCATTCCGAACAGGAAGGGATGGACACAACCCCGAGCTCAGAATCCAAGATGGCTGCGCCCTTTATCAACAGAAGTTGAAGCTGTAGTTTTATACCGTTTGTTAGCACTTTAGCACTTGCATCTTATGTGTGGCTCATTAAATCGGCAGCACGCACAGTACTGTCCAGCCGCTATCTGTGGCCGTGTGGCTTTGGTGTTTTTACGTGGAAAAATAGCACATAATGTGTTGGTAGCCACTGATATTGCTACCAATTAACTGGGCTGGAACTGGGGCCTGTTTCATTAAGCAGAATTTCTTGCTTAACTGGACAACTTGTCAGAATTACGGTACTGTGAGCTAAATGTAACATAAAGGCCAGTTAAACTGGGGTAAATTAAATCCAGATAAGCAAGAAATCTTGCTTTTTTAAACGGGTGCTGGTACTGCTAGATGACTTTCCGGCTCGCTGTACTGAAACGCTGTTAACTCGTGTGTGTGATGTCATTCCCAGTTTCGAGTTCTGACCTCCGAGGTAAATGGGACGCAGCATAACACTGAGGCGTCACACCTGGCCGGTTGGGGGTCGGCCCCTCCCTGGCTTTGGCTCCACAGAGACAGTACAGTAAGGCGGTCATGCTAACGCTGAGGCGTCACACCTGAACGGTTGGGGGTCAGCCGCTCGCTGGCCTTGGCTCTGTCCTCTGCCGGTCCCCGGACGCTGTGCAGATCTGTCAGGTAGTGACTCTCCATGGCTTTGGAGGCCTGCAGCTCCTTCTCACGGGCGCGCTCCTTCAGCCTCTCGGCCTCGCGCTCCCGCTCACGTTCCCGCTCACGCTCCCGTTCTCGCTCTCTCTCCCGCTCCCGCTCCAGTTCCTTCTCACGCTCTCGCTCTCGCTCCCGCTCCCGTTCTCGCTCCCGCTCAGCCTCGCGCTCCCTCTCCTTCTCCCGCTCACGTTCCCGCTCCCGCTCACGCAGACGCAGCTCATCTTCCATCTGGAGCCTGTTGGGGGGGGGGGGGGGGGGGGGGGGGGGGGGGGGGGGGGGGGGGGGCAGTTGGGGGTTTGAGGGGGGAGAGACACCACGGGGCGTGAGACCTTCCAGAAGCTGCAGGGATGTCACGGGTGTGTGACAAGCGGCGAGCGGGCGTGTCAGAGTAGTGCTGTGCTGGCAGAAGACACTGCGGGCGACGGTAGGACCGGCGTTTAACCAGGAGGAGGCGCTGCCAGCAGAGCGGGACGCAGGAGTGGTCCTGCCAGTCACGGAGCTTCTCAACTGACAGGTAATAACTGCCGGATAGCTGCTAAAAATACCAAGGTGAAATGCTGTCACACCCCCGCAGTGTGAGATTACAGTGCCTAGCAGGGCGTGGGGAATGCGTGTGTGTCACAGATAAAATGAGAGAGAAAGAAAGAGGGTTGAAAAATGAAAGACCTGGATCAGCACAGCTGTATGTGTATGTCTTGGTGGATGTATGCGGGGGGGGGGGGGGGATTACCTCTCAGACTGCAGGGCTGCCAGGTCTCCCGGGTAACGCATTCCGGGCAGGTGCATGTGCATGGCGGAGTGGTGCAGGGTTGGCAGGGCGCCCCCCGCTGCCAGGGGATAGAAAGGCGAGCGCAGTGAGGACAGGCAGAACGAGTCATCCATCCTGGGGGCAAGAGACACAGGTCAGTGCTGCGCGGCAGGAGTGCGTCCTCAAACCACGAGGCTCTGACCGCTGCCGTCACATGGGGCGAGAAATCCTAGTATTCTTTTTAACTTTTATTAGTGTGTAACTCCTCAAAAGCCTTAGGCCCACCTGTATGCGGAGAATGAGGGGTGGGGCAGGTAGCTGGGGTGGTAGTATGCGGCGGCGGCGGCCGCAGCCGTGGCGGGATCCAGGCCCAGGGGCAGTGAGGGCATGCGCAGCTCCTCCGCCGTGGCATAGGGCCTGAAGCTGCGCAGGTACTCCTCCGGGACGCCTCCAGGGGGCGCCACGTGGGAAATCTGCCGAGGCAGGCTGCAGGGGGGGTGGAGTATGCGAACAGGACCGTTACAATGAATAAATCAGTTGGTTATCTCCGGGGGGGGGGGTGGGCTGGCTCGGCGACTCACTTCAGGGGCTGGAATCGGGAGTCCTGTACGACGGATCCGGGGGCCAGGCCAAAGGCGTAGGGGTTTCCGATCAGGTGGGCGGGCACGGAGGGCCCCCCCTTCTCCTGGGCTAGGGCGGGCTCTGTGCCTAGACGGTCCCGGGACGCCCCCCGAGGGCCGGAATCAGCCTGTGGAGACATGAGCGCAGGCCTTCAGCTGCCACGTTCCCCTGCGCCTGTGACCGACACGCCTGTCGAAGGACGCGAAAGCCGCCTCGGACCCCGGAAGGTCGCACTGGGGAAGTACTGAGCGACGATGAAAGACGGGGGGGCGACCCTGAGGCGCCTGGCTGTACCCCCCAACAGGTGCCATTAGTGCACGTCACGATTCACAAGCCAAGCATCCCCAAATGCTCAGCCCGACCCCCCGAGTGCGTGAACCACGGCAGCAGGGTTTGCTAGGAGAGAACATTCCAGCCCTGGAGAGAGCAGTGACCCGGACCCGTCCGGAACAGCAGCCAAACATCCAGAGGGACGGCGCCGGGGGAAACCAAAAGCAATAATGATGAAGATGATTACAAGACCAGTGGGGCGGAAAAGATATAAGGGACAGAAGGAGCCACGCCCACCTCACAAAGCCATTGGGGGCGGGGGGGGGGCCTCAGGTCATGTGACTGAGAGGGTACATCTGCTGCTACTTCAGGTGACATCCTACATCCGGATGGGAGGTGACCCTTGAGAGTCGGGAGGAGGGGTGCGTACACACACACACACACACACACACACAAACGCAGGCATACACACACACACACACACAAACGAACATGTAGGGTAAACATATCCTTATGGGGACCGTTCATTCATTTCTATGGGAAAAATGCTAATGCTAACTATGACAACCTTAACCCCTACCCAGCCCTAACCATAACCATAAGTAACCTAACAAAATACAACAGTTTTTGCATTTTTAGGTTTTTCATGGCAGTCACCGATTTTTATAAAATAGTTTTCCCTTATGGGGACCAGAAAACCGGTATTTTGTCCCCATAAGGATAGGTATACCCGCTCGCACACACGCATGCACACACACATACACACACACACACACACACACACA